GGCGGCGGAGATGGCAGCGCTGGCGAACGAGGCGGCCGACGGCGAGGAGTGGCGGCGGCGAGCGACGACGGGCGGCGGCGTGCGGCTGCCGGCCGCGAAGGTGCACGATGGCCGGCGCGTACTCCGGCGAAGGGCGATGAGCTGCGGTGCGGGCACGCGCCCGTGGGCATGCGGCGGCGGCGACCGGGCCCCGCGGGCCGGATCTGGGCCGCGCGGCCCGCGGCGGCGGAGGGACAGGTGGCGGCCTGCCATAGGCGCGGTTCGGCGGCGGCGGTTGTCCGGCCAGGGCGGACATTGTCCGGCGGCGCGCGATGGAAAAAATTAGGGTTAGGGGTGGAGGAGACCCGGATTTTCAGAGAGAAGGCCTTTATATAGAGGTAGAGGGAGTTAGGAGAGTCCAAATGAGGTGTGGTTTTTGGCCACGCGATCGTGATCGAATGCTCTAGATGATGGAACATGTTTAAGTGGGGTTTGGACCACTTTGGAGGGGTGTTGGGCTGCAACACACACGAGGCCTTTACGGTTCTTCGGTTAACCGTTGGAGTATCAAACGAAGTCCAAATGACACGAAACTTGACAGGCGGTCTACCGGTAGTAAACCAAGGCCGCATGACAAGTCTCGGTCCAATCCAAGAACGTTTAACACCCGCACACGAAAAGAGGTAGAAAGGGACACCGGATGACATAGGAGCGCCGGATTGCAAAACGAACAACGGGGAAAATGCTCGGATGCATGAGACGAACATGTATGCAAATGAAATGCACATGATGACATGATATGGAATGCATGACACGCAAGCAATGACAAGCCAGCAACAACAAATAAGCGAAGGACACCTGGCACATCGGCCTTGGGGCGTTACAAGGGTATAACAACCTACCGCCAAGGTCCTTGGCAGTAGGGGTGCATCCCCCTCCCCTCCCCGTCCGTAAATAATTTCTAAGTATCAAATACAGTGTTTGTACTCACCTACCGCTCGGCACCTTGGCGGTAGGGTTGCACAGGCTACCGCCAGCCTGTTTGACGGTAGGGCTGCACTGCACTGACATGGATAAGTTGCCTACCGCCAGAGACCTCGACGGTAGGCTGGTATACCCCACAACCATCAATCCCGGCAGTGCGAAAAGGGTCAAATCCCAAACTTTTTTTGAACCAGGGTCAAATCTGGCTCAATTTTCGCAAAAAGGTCAAAACACCAAATTTCGCCCCAACAAGAGTAGATCCGTTGGAATGTGGAATTTTTTTCTGAGGGGTGGAGGTTTTTTACTTTTTGTAGTGGTTCGGAGAGGTGAAGTGGGAATGCAGGAAATCGGACTTACATTGTTGTTGTCTGGTGTGGGCTGGCAACAGTGATGAGCTCCAGCAAAAGTGGGCTCAATTAGAGAATCTCCAACCCGGTCCTTAGGCCAACACCAATGAGGTGACTCATTTGGTTCGTGCGTGGTCGATCGGGCCAAAACAAACAGAAATGATGGCCTAACTTATCCACAAATTGCGTCCACTCAGTGTCTGTCTGGACGCATTTTCAGCTCAAATTTGCGCCAGATTCGCGTCCACGTAGACACTAGATGCACGCCTGCGTGTCTGCCTCAAGACAACACTTTGATCTTCTACCTACCGCCGCCCGTCGTATTAAATGGACACACGTGCGCTTGGGTCCGCAAATCAGCGTCATCCGGAGGTCCTTTTTTA